TAGAGAATCTTCAGTTAGTATGACAGCAAATGAAAAACAGTCATCTGGATTTTTGAACCTTTTTAAAACTCAGGTGAATAAAGAAGGATCACCAAACTTAGAAAAGACTGGTGATACAAATGTCAAGATATCACCTCAGGAAAAGAAAGAATCTTCTGGTGTTTCAAATTTTTGGGGTACCCTTGGGGATTTCTTTAAAGCCAATGTATCTCCTATACAGACAACTGAAAATATGTCTGTTTCTTCAGTGACTAATAAGGATGAGGTCAGGTCAAGTCCTACTCCTATAGAGCTAGCTAGCCAGGGTGCTGGGAACTTTCCTGCTGCACCAATTTCCTCTAAAGGGAAGGCTAGAGTTAGAAGACTGAACAAACAGACTACTATTGATGACAGTAGGTTAAAGGAACCATCAACTAGAGGGATCCAGGGTAATGATTTGACTGAAAAAGAGGTACCATTCAGAGACCACCTAATCCAGCAGTCACCTAATTCATCTTTTTCAACAAGTAGTCTCAAAGAGTCTTCCAGGGATTCTTCAGTAGAAACTAGTGGTGTGACTACAATGACAGAAGCTTCAAAAAGTAATGAAATATCCTTTGATACCCTGAGCAAGAGAAATTCAAATGAACAATATCATTTTTCTGACAAAGACTGGAGTTTCTCCATGGCTACAACATCTTCACCTCAACCAGAGTTACCAACCAAAAAGAGTATATTTTCTTTTCTGACTGGATCTGAAAAATCTGAGAACAGAGCCTCTGCTAGTCTACCAAGAGCCAAATCTCAAGCAGAAGGGCTATTCACACTTCCTTCCTTTTTTTCCACTGCTAGCTCAAGCATTAAGAAGGATACCTCTCATAGTAGCTCTACTTTTAGTTTCTTTAGCTTGCCCTTTTTGGATCAAAATAAGGAGACCTCTGGGGAAAAACAAAGCATTTCAACTGTTGTTCCAGTGACCTCCCAGCCGTGTAAGAAGTCAAATGTTTTTGTAGACAGTGGTAGCACAATGACCAGAGAAAGTTCCAGTGGTCATAGAGATAGCATAGCCCAAGAAGTAGTTCATGAACAGCAAATGGCACCTTGTATTTCCATTAACAACACAATTGAGGTTACCTCCCTTGCAGATAAGCTCAGTGTAGAGAAGAGGGACTGTGAGGAAAAACTGAGTTCCAATACTGGACCACGAACATCAGTGGATTTCCAGATGAATGAGTTGCAAAAAGACATTGTTCCTCCTTCACCAGAATTTCAGGCGCAGGCTGAAACATTCCTCATTGGCCCAGAGAACCTTGGGATAGTTCGCCATGAAGAAGAGGCTTTCAACCACAAAGCCTTCCCCAGTGACTCACTGTCCAACTCTTTTTCACTTGCTAAACAGTTAACTGAAAAATTCAATGACTTAGATAGTTGTACTAACTACCACCAAAATGAGAAATTTACTACTGAACCAGTGAACTTGCCATTAGAAAAGGCCCCCGATGAGGTCTTACCACAGATCCTGGGGCCAGCCTCTTCCTCTCCAAAGCCAGGGTGTGCAGGGAACCTTCAGAACCAAGATGCAGATAAAGAGGAAGACAAATCTGCATTGGGATCTTCAGTAGACATGCTTTCAGGGTTTGTGACCAAAGTGAAATCTTTCTCTGGGAGCTTAATTGAACCTCCCAAAACACTCTCTGGACTTTTCTCCTCTGCTAAATCTCCAAAGAAAAACTCCTTTTTCTCTCTTGCTTCTGATGCATCATCTCAGCCCCTCAAAGATGAATTATTTGGAATTTTCAAAAGTCCCAAGCCAGAGTCATACAAACAAGAATCATCTCTCCCAGCTACTACATGGCTTCAGAATGGTTGTTCCAGAGATGCTGTAGGATCAGCACCTCCAGAAAGGAGAGAAGCTGCCTTTACAGCACCCAATTCAGAATCTACTCTCAGTGACTGTAGAATGACTGTGGTTAGTGCAAAGCCAGAATCAGATATCTTGACAGATGATCCTAAGCTAACAACCAAAATGGAAGACAATAATACTCCTGAAAATATTCTGGAACTTCAACGTTCTGAAACAATTAATACATCTTCTTTCTCAGGCGATGATACTGGGCAAGGAGTATTGTCTCTGAGTGATGAAGGAGACATGGGGATATTGCAAGCTACAGACACAGAGGCATCATTAGAAGCAGAGAACATTGCGCTGCCAACACAGTTGCAATCAGATCCTACCTGCATTGCCGAAGAGCTTCCTCCAATTCAGCCACCTCTTCCTCTTGAGCCAGAGCCAGCTATTCAAACTGCCTCCACAAACCAAGACTTACTGGAGCTGCATCCAGCCAGTTCACTAGAAACTGATACTACACTGTTCAGTGATGCAAGTGTGAGCCAGAGCACCACACTGGAAACCGAAGGGCGCTTTTCTCATCCTCTGCTGGAGGACCCTGTGCTTCCTGCCAAAGAAAGTTGTGAGATAATTCATGCCAAGAAAGATCCACCTGCAGTCCCCCAGGAAACAGAGCAGTCAAGACCACGTTTTGAGATCCCAAATGTGACCAGTTGGCCAAAGCTTCGTTTGCCATCCTCTGCTACTAACCATGGGAAACCACTGAGCTCTTTCTTTTCCTCATCTCTCCCCTCTGGCAATAGAGCAACAGAGACTGGTTTAATGTCCAGTTTTAAGAAGTTGTCAACTTTCTTTGAGGGAAATGGTGAGGGGAAAGGAAGTGTACTAGCAAGTGATTCAAAACTAGGGTTTGGAAAGGTGGATCTTTCATTTCCGTGGCCAAAAGAGAACAAATGGGGCCCTGAGCAAATGCCTACAGAATCTTCCCCTCCGGTTTTAGTTACTAGTAGTGATCAGGACCTTTACTCCAGTGAGACTAACAAAGCTTTGGAGTCTTCTCAGATATCTGGGGCCAGTGCTCAGCCAGATAAAGTCTACACTCAGCCCTCTGGGACCTCTGAGCAGCTGGCAGCCAGGCCAGAGGTCTGTGCTCAGGGGCTTTCAGGACCTGGAGAAGGGGGAAACCAGCAGGAAATCTCAGCATCCGGAGAACACTGGGATACCAAAGGCAGCCTCTCTAGCCCCACCTGTCCTTCAGGGAAACATGAGGAAGAACCCTCCACTGTCTCTGAGATATTTCACCAGCCAGAAAAACAGGAAGAGGAGGCAGTGCCTGCTAGTACTGACTCTGATTTGAATGTACAGCGGCCAGTCACTCTGAATGACATCATGGAGCCAATGACCAACAAAAGGCCTGTTCTTAACTCAAGCATCATAAATGGCTTTAAAGAATCGACCATTTATGATGCAAGTGACTTAGTGGTAGATTAATCATAGCTTACTTTTTATCCTTCCTGTGTCTTTCCTAGTACCCGAGCTTCATGTTAATTAGGGGTTAAATAACAAGAACTCAATGTGTGGGTATTTTCATCCTCCTCTTCTCTCTATGCCAATTGTAATTCATTTGTTGGAACAAGGAGCTTCCTGCTTAAAGCAAAGGCTGGGCCCGGAGATTTACTCACTCTGGTTTGCTCTGCCTTGTATAATGCGAAGTGGAGAAAGGAGGGCAGGAAGAGGTAGCAAGTAGTTGGTAGTATATATTAACTACAACTACATGATAGGCTAGGATGCTTCCTTGGGCCTGAGGCACTTATATCTTGTAGGAGATGGGGATAGACCTATTTTGCTTTGTTTTTTCAAGTCTTCTAAGATGCTTTCTCCAGTGGCAATGAGTGTTTTAAGTTAAATACAAAGTGCAAAGGATGCCTTGGGATAGTCTGTATTCCCATATCCTATTCCATACAGATTTACATAACTTCTTCCAGGGTATCATCTCTGCCTTTTACTACTCAGAGCAGTGACCTAGTACCTATTCTGCTGGCATGAGCTAGAGGATCAGAAATCAGCCTGAAAATACCAGGTAATTAGGAGGAACTTTAGGGAAAATCCCATTGGAAAATAACAGTGATTTCTCTTCTTTGACCAAGGGTAAACACAAGCCCTTTAGTTTAAAGGCTTGACTCTGTGGTAAGAAAATTCTTCAGAAGAACTGAAGCCCTTAGATGATACGGCCATAGAACTCAAGGAAGTAACTTCTAGGTACTGCTTTTCTTTCCACCACTCTGCCCTTCTTGCCACTGTCACTTTCTCTGCTACAACTGCTTTCTCTCATAACTTTCTGGACATGGGAATACAGGTGATTGAGAAAAGATTGGCTTGCTGGCCTTCAGATACAGAGATGCATGAATACAGCTCTGACCCAGATCCTGGAGTTGGACTTTGTCCACTCTTTCCAAAACTGAGCCTTGCCCTGAAAGAAGCTCAGTTACAGATGTTCATCTTTGGGACACTTCCTATGCTGCCAGGGATAGCATTGTAGCACTTACGTTGATGAGTCCATTCCTTTGTGGAATCTCTTGGTCCTGGCCTCCATCTTCTAATGGGTTCTATTAACTCATCTTGCAGATGAGGAAACTGAGATGATAATTGAAGGAACATATCTACTCTCCTTTGCTCATCCTAAGGTACAAGAATACACATTTACAATTGTAGAGGAAGAGATAATGACCTCAGTGTAATAAGTAATAGAAAAAGAGTGGAGTTCATTCATTCCATTTTACTGTGTGGAAATTAAAAAAAATTTAATCACAGCCACTGGACAAGCTTCTTTAGAAGACTGAATAAAGAATTTTAGGAACAAGTAACAGGCCATTTTAATAATTTTTAATCCTACTCACAAATAGCCTATTAAGATAAAATATCCTTCAAAGTCAAGTACTGGGCTGAGGTTAAGTGTCGTTGGAGAACCCAGCATGTTGTGTTGTTTTCCTGTTGTGTTTTTGCTGAATAGAGACTAATTATTCTAGATTATGAAGTTTGGTCCTCTCTTCCCAGGAACCTCCTATTTGATTCTTGCTACTGATATAGTCATTATTTCCTGGATGTCTCCATGCTTTTGTCCTGGTCCTTGATTGCATTTATTTACTTTTCTGTCTTTCTGTCATTCTCACAGCCCCACCAGCAGCAGTAGGTATGGCTCCTCCTGTAATGTGAGTCAAGGAAGCTCTCAGCTAAGTGAGCTAGACCAGTATCATGAACAAGATGACGACCATCGGGAGAGGGACTCAATTCATTCTTGCCACAGCTCTAACAGCCTGTCCAGAGATGGCCAAGCAGGTTTCAGAGAACAAGAGAAACCCTTGGAGGTGACAGTTCAAGCAGAGAAGGAGGCAGCATGTGAACCCAAGGAGACGAAAGAAGATGCCACAACCTACCCTCCCCCAGATCTGATGCTGCACAAAGACCACTTCCTAGGTCCCCAGGAAAGGTAGGCAACAGCTCCCTTGAGGAGCTCACATGGCTTCCTCAGTACCTGCCCTGTGGTATTGTTGAAAATAAGTGATTGTCATTTGTTTCCCTGCAGCTGGGTATGGTGGTAGTTAACACCCCTAAGCTCAACTCTATATTGCTTCCTTTGATTTATGGTGTACTTTCCAAGATATTTTGGAGATCTCTGAACATTTGGGTTTTTGTTTGTTTTTGAGATAGAGTCTCACTCTGTTGCCCAGGCTGGCTCGATCTTGGCTCACTGCAGCCTCGACAGCCTGGTCTCAAGCGATTCTCCCACCTCAGCCTCCTGAGTCCCTGGGACTACTAGCTGTGCACCACCACACCTGGCTAATGGTATTTTTTGTAGAGACAAGGTTTCACCATGTTGCCCAGGCTGGTCTTGAACTCCTGAGCTCAAGCAATCCACCTGCCTCAAACTCCCAAAGTGCTGGGATTACAGGTGTGTGCCACTGCACCTGCCAGCACTTGGGTTCTTTGTCATTAGTGAGCTGCAGTGTACCAGAACTTCTTGAGTTTGCAGTTCATAGCTTACTAGTTGACCTTGTATATGGCAGCCTCTGAGTCAGGAACTGACTTGAGCCAGGTTATTTCATCCACTGGGGCTGTTGTGCGTACTTTGGCTGACTTCCTAACCTATTAAGAATGCTACTTTGGCCTCTGGCCCAAACTTGTTCAAAGGGCTTGGTCCGGGTCAGTGTGTGCATGTACTTATGTACAGGTATTTGTGTATGTGTGTTGAACTGCTCAGAACAGTGACCTGGTACCTATTCTGCTGGTATGGGCTAGAGGATGAGAAATCAGCCTGAAAATACCAGGTAATTAGGAGGAACTTCAGGGAAAATCCCATTGGAAAATAACAGTGATTTCTGTTGTAACTTTTTTTGGTGAACATTTTGTTTTGCTTTTCCCTGGCTGAGAAACCCAGGACAGAGTTAAGAAAGAATTGATCTAGAAGTCAGATGTAACCCACCCCTCGGCCTCCTCAGGGCCTAGCAATGTGTCTGCCAATTCATATCCATGGGAAGAAAAATTTAAAATGTGTCCTCTTTAACGTCTCATAATGAAGCCGAGTACGGAGTCTGAATGTTATTACTAGCTAAATTGGTTAGACTAGCCGATAGGTTGGAGCAGAGCCAGAGTTCTCAGACTCGGCACTCGAGACATTTTGGGCCAGGTGATTCTTTGTTGTGTATATTATAGGATGTTTAAAAGCATCACTAGCCTCTACACACTAGATGCCAGTAGCAATCCTCGCAACCCTCAGCTGTGACAACTAAAACTGTCTCCTGACAGATTTCCCCTGGAGGGACAGTTGCCCACTGGGGTAGAGTGATAAGTGATGGGTATGACGTAGACTTTCAAATTTCAAGATCTAATAATAAAGCCTCTCACTGAAAGACCAGAGCACTGAATGCGGATTACATGGTAAAAATTAGGGAGTGGCTGATGCTTCTACTTTACTACTGGATTAATAGATGAGTCGCAAACTTTTCTGAAGATATTAACTTATTTTCTCTCTTCTTCCCTTTTTTGATTTTTAGTCACCTCTGGTAGCTCATCTAATAGATGGGACCTCCAGGAGGTGAGCTGCGGATCAGGCTTCTTATTGGGTTGATGACCCACTGAAAAACTGACTCTGGCTCTCCATAGACCTTAGACTTGGCAGTCACTATTATCAGGGCAGAGCTCCTTATGGAGAAGCAGAAGTGCCCAGCACAAGTCCTTGTCCTTCTCTACTGGTTGTGTCCTCCCAGGTCCTATCTGTGAGAGTGAAATCCAGTTCTACCTTGGCCAGAAGTACCCACAAATGTTTTAGAACAGTTGACACATTTAGTTGGCATCGGAACCAACCGTATGTTTTACATGTCTAGATGGTGGACACTTGTCTGCTGAATTGACTGTAGACCTCAAAGAGAGAAAGGAGAAACATTGTTGCCAAGAATTAACCACTATTCTAGTTAGTGTGGATAATGAATTGTTCTAATGCAGGGTAGTGTTTCTGTCTCAAAGGTATTTTGTTATGTGTATTGTTCATTTTACTGAGGGTGTTCTAGAAGCAGCTCAAGGAACAAGATCATGGCAGTAGAAGGGCTGTTTTTTTTTTTTTTTTTTTCCTTGGCACTTTTCATGTAAAAAGGAATGGGTAAGACTTCTAAAATACTTATTGGAGCAGGAAGGGTTTGCAGGAACAAAATTCTGCCCTAAGGATGCTATGCAAAACCCCCAAGGGAACTGATTGTTTTAAGAAGTGCAGTGAAAGGGATTGAAAGGCTTATTCTACCCCTCTCTGCATGGTTTCTATACTACTATTGACTCAAGGCTCTTGCCATTGCCTCTAGAGTCCTGATCCCAGAGTGTTCCAGGAAGCCACCACATTGGGTAAATGAAAAAAAGGAGTAGGAAAGAAGGAAACAGATGAAAAGCTAAAAGGAATTGTCATTTTAGAGTGCCATGATCATGCCACTGCACTTCAGCCTGGGCAGGGGCCTTTTTTGAGACCCTGTCTCAAAAAAGTAAATAAATAAATAAAAGAGGGAACAGATGAGAAGCCAAAAGGAGTTATCGTTTTAGAGAGGAATTGTTTTCACATTGGATATTCAGTACTATGCTGTTTTAGTAGCCTGAATCACTAAATAAGTGTAGGCATGAGTACAAACCATTTTATTTTAGACATTTGGCAGTCTTGCCTTGAGCAGTGTCACCTTGTGGCCTTGACTGTTTTTAAGAAGTGTACTTTTTCTCTGTTACAAGTTTTCCTGAGGAGAATGTATCTTCACCATTTACCCAAGCCAGAGCACATTGGATCCGAGCAGTTACCAAGGTTCGACTCCAGCTGCAGGAGGTAGGAAATCTGTTCTAGTACTGGTTGGGACAATTTTTCCTTTGAAATTGGGAGACATATGGTGCTGGAGAAGCAATCAGTGATTAGTCATCTTCTTACAGTGTGCTTCTGGGAATGCATGACAATTAAGCCAGAGCTTTAAGGGATGGGAAGCGGCCAGTGGCTTTCTTCTGTGCTGATGAATGGAAATTAAATAGACCTAGTGGGCTGAGAGCCTGACCATAAAGTTAGATGCTTATTTTTCAAGTACTGTTCATTGTCTCTTTGAAGCAGTTTGCATTTAGGGCAAGAGAAGATTTCAAGCCCCTTAGGATAGTTGTCTCCCTTACCTAGCCAGTTCATACTGGCTAATCTGTAGGGGCCAAAACAGGGTACAAAAATATCTATGGAATTTGCCAGTTGAAGTACCAAAGCATGAACACACTAAGATCTGAAACAACATAAAAAAATGTAAAAACAAAGATAAATATTTTTCATTTTCAGTGTTACAAGTTTAAAGTGTCTTTATCTGTGTGTCAGGAGGTAGGCAGTCTTTAGGCAGAAGGTGCTTTTTTTTTTTCCATATAAGTTTAGGAGGTACAAGTGCAAGTTTGATACATGGATATATTGCATAGTGGTGAAGTCTGGGCTTTGGGTGTAGCCATCATCCGAATAGTGTACATTATCCCCATTAAGTAATTTCTCTTTCCTTACCTGCTTCCACCCTTCTAAGTCTCCAGTGTCTGTTATTCCACAGTGTCTATGAATCCATGTGTACACATTATTTAGTTCCCACTTATAAGTGAGACCATGCAGTATCCCATGGTGTGTGTGTGTGTGTGTGTGTATATATATATATATACACCACATTTTTAAAAGCCAGACATCTGTTGATGGACACTTAGGTTGATTCTATATCTTTTTCCTTTTTTTTTTTTTTTGAGTTGAGGTCTTGCTCTTTTGCCCAACCTGAGTTCAGTGGCATGATCACTGCAGCTTTGAACTCCTAGGCTCGAGCAATCCTCCTACCTGTGCCTCTTTAGTAGCTGGGTCTACAGGCAAGCACCACCATGCCTGGCTAATTAAAAAAAAAAATTTTTTTTTTTTGTAGAGGCAGGGTCTTGCTGTATTGCCCAGGCTGGTCCTGAACTCCTGGCCTCAAGCGATCCTCCCACTTTGGCCTTCCAAAGTGCTGAGAGTACAGGTGTGAGCCACTATACTCAGCCCATGATATTTTTGCTACTGTGAATAGTGCTGCAATAAACATATGGGTGCAGGTATCTTTTTGATATAATGATTTATTGAAGTTACATGTTTAATGACAATTGGCTGTCGATAGTATAATATCTGGCAGATATTAAAAGTGCAATCATGCTCACATATGTGCACATGTACTTTAAAATTTAATTTATTTTGAAGCAATTTCAAACTTAAGGAAAAGTTGCAAAAACAGTAAAGAACTACTATGTCTCCTCACCCAGATGCTCCAGCTATTCACATTTCACATTTACTTCATTTCCTTCCCTCCATTATGATCAATCTTTTTCTGAATCATTTGAGAGAAAATTGGAGACATGATATTCTGTCATTTCTAAATCTTCCTTTGTATTTCCCTATAAACAAGGCTACTGTCCTGTATAACCACAGTATAACCATTCAAATCTGCCAAACAACAATAACAACACTATTATCAAGACCCTATGCATATTTTGCCAGCCATCCCGACAATGTCCCTTTTTCCTTTCTAATCCAGAATCCATTCCAGGATGACACGTTGCATTTAGTCATGATATCTCTTTAGCCTCCTTCAGTGTTTCCCATCCTCAGCAGTTTTAAATGGTATAGGCTTTTCATTTTATAGCATATTCTTCAGTTTGGGCCCATTCAGTGTTTCCTCGTGTCCGGACTGAGGCCATCCTTTCATGGCAGGAATTACACAATAAAATGATGCTGTGCTGTTTTCAGAGCATTGCGTCAGAAAGTACCTGATGTCAATGTGTCCTACCATTGATAATGTTAGCCTTGATCACTTGGTTAAGTTTGTATTGGCCAGGTTTCTCCACTGTCAAAGCACCATTTTTCCCTTTGTAATTGTTAAGTGCCTTGTGGTGCAGTACTCTGAGGATACGCTGGTATCTCTTTCCTCATCAAATCTCTACCTACCAGCTAAGTAGCCGTCTCCTGTCTGAATCTACCACCACTAATGGTGCTTGCCAATTGGTAACTTTCTGTTTCTATTATTCTTTCTATATTAATTAGTTGGCATTCTATTTTTAGGAAGAGATTTCCCTTTTCTCTCATTAATTTATTTATGTCAATATTGCATTATGACTCTTACATTTCTAACTTATTATGTGAGTTATAATCCATTACTGTCATTTATTTTAGTGCTCAAATTGTTCTGGCTTCATATGAGCACTCTTAATTTGACCCTTCAGGGAGAAGATAATGTTTTAGTAATTACTGAAAAGATAGCTGCTTGGAAAAAGTATTTTGAATACAGATATTTGAAAATGCTACTATTTGTGTGTATATATGTGTGTGTGTGTGTGTTCTTTTATCAGAAACAATGTTACTGATAAAAACTCATAACTGCATTCTCTAAAATCTTGGAGATTATTAACATATTAAAAAACTTTCTAATGACAATTTCCAGTGAGTTTTGAACTTATTTGTTAAAAATGTGAAAATATTTCTCACGATTTTGCAAGAACAGCTGACTGACATCAGAGAAGAGGAAAAATTACTAAAGTTTAACAAAATCTCTGAATAATTAGTATGTTGGAACCAACTGCTCTTCTTTCATTAGATTTGATATATCATTATCTTTTTCAGCTGTGACAGCTATGAAAACCATGTATTGAAGTAATTGAATGTACAATCAGACCTTAAAGTCATTCTATAACAAAATATTAAAATAAGATTTAGGAAACAATTAGGCATATTATATCACATTGTTTTAAAAAAAATGTATCACTGTGAATATTTTTAGTTACAGCAAAAATGTTTTGTTATTAATAAACATTTAAAAAATTTTAAATTTGTTATGCTTTTCACATTTTAAATTTTATAATGTATATTAATGTAGCTATACATCTATATAATTTTTAAATGAATAAATGTACATATGTTGAGAGGTTCATGCTAAAAAAATTTTCCATGGGTAGGGCTGCCTAATTGCAAACACTGGGAGTCTGTTGATATAGACTGACATGAGGCAAACAAATATTTGTTTATTTATTTATTGAGACAAGGTCTCACTCTGTCACTTAGGCTGGAGTGCAGTGACATGATCATAGCTCACTGCAGCCTCAACTTCCTGGGCTCAAGTGATCCTCCCACCTCAGCCTCCCAAGTAGCTAGGACTACAGGTACACACTACCACACCCAGCTAATTTTTTTTAATGCTTTTTAGAGATGGAATTTCACTGTGTTGCCCAGGCTGGTCTTGAACTTCTAAGCTCGAGCGATTCTCCTGTCTCAGCCTCCTAAAGTGCTATGATTATAGGCATGAGCCACTGCATTTGGCTAAACAAGCTTTTTTTTTTTTTTTTTTGACGGAACCTCACTCTGTTGCCCAGGCTGGAATGCAGTGGTATGATCGTAGCTCACTGTAATTTCCACCTCCTGAGTTCAAGCAGTTCTCATGTCTCAGCCTCGCTGGTAGCTGGGACTGCAAGCGTGGACCACCATGCCCGGCTAGTTTATTTTTTGTATTTTTAGTAGAGATGGGGTTTCACCATGTTGGCCAGGCTGGTCTCAAACTCCTGACCTCAGGTGATCCACCTGGCTCAGCCTCCCAAAATGCTGGGATTACAGGCATGAGCCACCACGCCTGGCCTAAACAGGCATTTAAAATGAACATTTATGGAATGAATGTCATAATACTTACTGATTTTTTATTTCTAATTTTTTTTAAAAGTAAGGGCCTTGTAATTCTTCCTATAAGCAAAGCAAAGTAATTAACGTTCTCCATGTAAAAGGAAAGCTCTGAATTAGAAAAATAAGAATATATTGGAGAAGACACAGTTTAAGTTATGGCCTTTTCTTTTTCAGAAGTATCATAATTCAGAGTCTCTCAAAAAGACTAGCTGAAAACAGTTGCCAAAGCTTGGAATCATATAGACAGAGGCATGGTTTACCTAAGAGTAACTAAGAACTTAACTGAATAAGAGAACAATAGTAAAGATATTCTTAACACAGGTAAAGTAACTGGCAACTGATTAGAAATGTCCAAGAGGAGAAACAAGTCAGAGTTTAAAGAGGGTTCTGGTAACAGTTTAAGATTGAAGCAGAAATATACCATTTATACTTAAGATGAGATTTAGTAGCATATTGGTTTAAGTTATGGGAGAGAAAGAAGTTAAGCACAACACCAAGGATTTTTTTGCCCCGCCACCACCCCCCTGCCCCAAGTAATTGGAAGTTCCACCTAATCACTCCTTCACCCTCCACTCAAGATAATCTTTTTTGTTAGTTTCCTATTTATCATTCTAGAATATCTGTCTGCAGGTACAAGCAAATATGAATATACTAATGCTTCTTTACCCCTTTTTATACAAAAGATGGTATATTATACATACCGAGAATATCTTGATTTTCTATTTGGAGATCCTTCCATACCAGAAAAAAGAAAATTTTTCATTATTTTTTATAACTGCGTAATATTCTGTTGAATGAAGTATTTGTTCTGCAAGTAGTAAGTCCTTTGTTGATGTTCATTTTGTTGTTTCCAGTCATTTGCTGTTAACCATGTTACAAATGAGTAACCTTGTACATACGTCATTTTGCATGTCTGCAAGTATACCAAGGGGATATGCATTTATAATTTTGATAAATATTGCCAAATTGCCCTCCATTTGTCTGTGGCTTAAAGTAACAAGGGCTTGTTTCTTGCTCATATTCCATGTCAAGGAGTTTTGCTTTAAAGTTGTCTTCTCTCTGCAGTCCAGGCTGATGGAGCAACCAACACCTGGAACACTGCCAGTCACAATGATAAAAAGAAGGGAAAGATAACAAGT